ATGTTAACAAGGCTAGTTCGATTAAGATTTACCCATAAAATTACGTAATAACACCTTGGTTTATCAAGTTTTTACTTTAGAGGTCTCAATAAGATTTTTTCCCTTAAGCGTGCATACATGTGTCAAAACAATCAAATTAATATTTCATTTCCTACAGGGTTCGTGACTGGCCCTTTGAATAAAGGGGGGTTCAGTAGTTTCTAAGAAACTGTGGTGCTGCGTCGGTAAGTGTGAAACACGAAAATCGATTCGTCTCTGACGAAGGGCAACGCTCGAAACGTCAGCTTTCAATCGCACGGTGGTCAATTTACATTTATCAACCCGTTGATAAACCAAATTTTCGTGTAGCCCTTGAATGACGATCTTTGCTTATTGAAAGCAGTGGTGGCTGCCATAATCTAAAGCCTCTAACGACTCTAACCAGCCAAAACACAAAGAAACATTTGACCCCGATATGCTCTTATCTCAGTATTGTGTGTAGTACCTGAACGATAATGGCAGCTGTTTAAGGGGACCAACGGCGAGCCAAGAGCTTTATCGTAACCATCGACAACGTATTTGCTCTTACTTGCAACTAAAGCCCTTCTCAAAAGTTACTGAATGACAACACTATTCTATACCAAATTTGATAGTAATTTTTAACCAAACACAAAGGGTAAAATAAGTATTCCTGGCTAGATTCTTATCCCGTCCACCAGCACGCAGCAGAAGAAACGAAAGATACTGATCACAGACCGTAAAATTAAACAACCTTGGACTCATAATTAAAGTCTTCATAAACTCTACCCAGACAAACGAGGACTCATTTTGACCTTGATCTGCTCGGAAAAGGGGCAAAACAAAACTCTCTCAAAGTTTAATTACTAACGAAAATGGCCCCACACTTTCTAAAATGATTCAGCTAAGCGTGAAGAAGCCGAGAGTTCAGTAACAGATTTGCAGTCCTCGCTATTCTTAAAATTCTCGCAAATGATGGAATGATTAAATTCCTCGTGTAAATCTTTTACGTGATTCGCAGACACGATCTTCTTTGCCACTTTTTCTAGTGCAGAAACTCGACACTCTCAAAATTATAATGGTCCATCCCTTTGGGAAAAATTCAAAGAAGCCAAGGAAAAGGATGTCTTTCAAAGAAATGCTCGTTCGAGTGAGACTTTTAAGGTCAGATATTTACATTGTATTTAAGAACTTATTAAAAAGTATGTTAGCACGAATTGTTTGAAAACGACTCTTAATTAACTCATGCTTTAGCATGACAGCAACTTTTAAATTAAGTCTTTTTTCCCGCAAAATCCAAAGCCGAAATATGTCTCAACGTCACGCAACAGGTCTTAAGGACAAAATAATATTTCATTGCGTGTTCCATATGTACATATATTTTATAGTTATTTATTCAAACAGTTATTTTGCTTTGAAACCCTTGTATAGTTATGCTGTTTTAGAAATATATTTAGTAAAGATTAAAGATTAAGGGCCGTGCTGGGATTTTTGTGATGTGACCGTGCTGGGATTTGGTGATGTGACGCTCACGCGGACAGCGAGGAGTCCAAATTGGCGCGAAATTCCAAAAATAACGCAATCTAAAATGGCGGGGTCCTAAAGGGTCGGAAATCTCAAACGGCCTGCACCAGCGAAAAACGTTGTTGGTGCAGCGTAGTTCATGCCAATTTCCCTATGAAACTCAGCGTTAACACAAGCTAAACAGTTCTTACTGAAAATACTGATTTTATATCTCACTTATTATGTTCGCGTCCGTACAGACAATACGGGTGGCTGCTCTCTTCACAAACATGCTCATTAGCGTTCAGTTGTAAGTCTCGATTACAGACACAATGCATCTTCTACAAATGGCACAATCGCGTTCATCGAGCCGCATCTGAAGCGCACACTGGTAGCAATACCTGTGACCGCAAACTAGGGTCGCGTCTTTCGGTCGATCCATGCAGATGTCACACATGCGGGAAATCTTTGGTAGTGTTCGGCTCGCTTCTGTATGGGTTAGCTCTATCTCGTGGTGCCCGTCAAACGAAATTCGTTCTTTTCATTAGTTTCTTCTTCCTGTTCTTCTGGATTGCAATTATCTCCGTCGTTGTCATCATAACTTTCTTCTTCCTGATTGTAATTATCTTCTTCGTTCTCTCCAGAAGTTTTTTCATTCTGTTCTTCTGGATTGTAATTATCTTCGTCGTTCTCGTCATACTCGCTAAACTGCGTGTATTCGCTATCTTGTAAGTTTTCTGCGAATAATCTATCGTTTTCAAGTTGATCCGCCGTAGCTTTGGATCTCTCGTCCGGACCTTTGATAGTCAGTCCTTGTTCAGGCGATCCAAGAGCTGGCCATTCTTCCTCCAAAGTATTCTTCGTTATAAGGTCGCTACGTAAGTCGACGCAAAATTTTTTAGGTTCTGGAGGTTTGTTTTTCGCTAAGACGGTTGCGTAAGAATTTGGTTGTCGCGGTTTTGGCTCTTCATTTGCTGGCTGAGGACTGGATGCTTTCTGCTCTGGCCGCTCAAGATATCTGTACGATGGGTGTCGAAGATTGCAACGATGTCTACCATGAGAAATGGCCCAGGTCATGAAAGTAGGGCAGATGTCGGCACGAAAATCCATGTCCTCGCTGTTCTTGTCTCCCTCGACGTATTATTATTCTAATGCAAACACCTGAAAAAAAGAGTTAAATATTAATTCAGAGCAACATCGAAAAGATATGTCTATGGCATGACTCTTCGAGTCGGGAAACGGCCAACACAAGTTAATTCGAAAAACTTTTTCCCCCTATGTTCACCGTATCATATATTTGTCTTAGGTTTATTCAGCCTAATCAAGCAAGTCTTACATTACGACGTTTGATCTCCTTCTTGCCTTTCGAGCAGGGGATGTCGGACTTTACGTTGTTCAGGAATAAGAAATAATCAGGTCGAAGTATTGGAAACAGATTCCGTCAAATCTAATGGAGTTACTTCCCACCTTGCAAAATGTACATTTTCCCCGTTTTTTTTTTTCCGTTAATAATGTGAAAATAGCTCAGTACAACTTTTTCTGTTAGCAACATGTAAGGGACTCGTGAAGTATTCATGTAAGTCCAAGGCGGATTATTTCTAACTGTCCCCATAACTAGCTCAGTAAAACACAATATGGTAAGATATATCGTGCATGGCTGTATATGAGAACCAAATGATATATAATATACCGCATAGCCCAGAGTATTCGACCAACGGAGAGATCCATCTTATCTTCGTGCATGGGATAAAATCAAACTGACTCAATCAATTGCACAGGGCTGCAAGATAGAGTGCTTTGGAAATCCTCGTCGATTTTTGTATCTATTTGACAATTTAATGTGACCGCAACCGTACAACTGATTTACCTTCGTATTTTGCTGCTTCTCTGCCTCTACCTTCGATCTGATAAAAAATACTCCTATGAGCTTTCTTTCAGGCAAAGCCGCCTCTGTTAAAACTATGATTTCCTATAACCAGTGTTATGATGCTAAAATGACAAGTTCTTTTGAATGGAAGTGGCGCGCGTGAAGTGGCGCGCAATGCGCCAGTGTCCCCATTAACATGAAAACCTCTAACGATTCTAACCAGCCAAAACGCAAGGAAAAAGTTTGACCCGATCTGCTCTCCGTATTGTGTGTGATACCTGTCTAAGGGGACCAAAGGCGAGCGGATCGTGGTTGATAGCACGAAGGGTAAACACTATCGATGCCCTCATAAACAACGTTTTTTCAATCGTCTTTCGCTCCTTACTCAAACCTCACATACCAAAATATCTGCAATTGCTCGATGTCCTAACTTTTTCGTACCAGCTATTATCACCGAACTGGTAAAATCAACTCTCTAACTAGACGCAATCAAGGATATGCTTTAAACATGTTACTGTATTCTCTCATTCTCCGGCTGATAAATCTATGATTTTCTATAACCATAGGCTTGATTTCCTCCGCTCTCTCGTGTCCGGTCTACGTTCCTGAGTTCGGGGGAGGAGAGCGGGCTCCTTTCCCGAAAAAAACCACTATAAACAGTGTTATGATGCATTACGGTCTCACTATCGACCCAAAAGTCTGAGCCGTTAGGTAAAACACAGTAGCAAAAATTAGTTGATATGCACAGATGCACACATCTCACAACATAATTTGCTCAATATTTAATTTCTAACCTCCCTGACAAGTCTTTTGAATGGCGATCCCAAAACTGACGTCCGACAATTCTTGCTAGGCTTTTTGCCGTGAAGTCGCGCTCAATGTGCCAGTGTCAACATTAATTACACGGAACCTCTAACGATTCTAACACGCCGAGCCGCAAGGAAAAAGTCTGACCCGATCTGCTCAGTATTTTGTGTAATGCCTCGGCTGTCTTAAGGGGACCGATGGCGAGCTGATCGAGGTTGATAGCACGAAGGGTAAACACTGTCGATGTTCTCATAAACAACGTCTTTTCATTTGTCTTTCACTCCTTACTCAAACGGCACATACCAAAATATCTGCAATTTCTAATGTCCTAACTTTTTCGCGCCAGTTTTTAACACCGAATTGGTCAAATCACCTTAGAGGCAATCGAGCGATATGCTTTGAACATTTTATTGTATTCTTGCATTCTCTGTTAAATCTTACCCCGGCACAAAAAACTCTGAGCCGCTAGGTAAACCACAGTAGTTGAAATTACTTAATTTCTAACCTCCGTGACAAATCTTTGAATGGCGATCCCAAAACTGACGCCCGACAATTTTTGCCGTGAGGAGGGGTGCGCAATGTGCCAGTGTCCCCATTAACATGAACCTCTAACCTCTAACGATTCTATTCTAACCAGCCAAAACGCAAGGAAAAAGTTTGACCCGATCTGCGCTTATCTTAGTATTCAACGGTGTGTGATACCTGTCTACGGGGACCAAAGGCGAGCTGATCGAGGTTGATAGCAAGAAGGGTAAACACTCTCGATGTCTTCATAAACAACGTCTTTTCAATCGTCTTTCACTCCTTACTCAAACCTCACATACCAAAATATCTGCAATTTCTAATGTCCTAACTTTTTGTGCTTGTTTTTAACCACCTTAGAGGCAATCGAGCGATATGTTTTGAACATTTTATTGTATTCTTGCATTCTCTGTTAAATCTTACCCCCGCACAAAAGCTCTGAGCCGCTAGGTAAACCACAGTAGTTGAAATTACTTCATATGTATAGATGTGCACATCTCATTTTAAGATAATTTGCTCAATATTTAATTTCTAACCTCCGTGACAAATCCTTTGAATGGCGATCCCAAAACACAGGCGCCCATCTGAAACGAGGTATAAATGTCTGAAATAAGGCGAGACGACAACATGTCACGAACACGAAATACGAGAATCGAACAAAACATCCACTTCCCCCTAAAATCTTACTCTCCCTGGTCCCTTGTATCATCAACCATTGGCTTAAGTCACGAAATGAAATGCAAGATCATGCTAAGTGTATTAAAAGACTTAAAGAACCTTACAAAATGAACTGTCAAGTCACAAAAAATAATAAAATAAAATAACAAACTCGTAGTCGAAAGACTGACTTGATTTGGCTTTTTCTATCCTGGGTACCAGTGCGACGTTTTGGTTCACGTTCCATTTGTTTACGCAAATTGGCTCAAGGCAGGGTTTCTCTCTCTCTCGGAGTCTGCTTCACTGCTGTTTTGTTCTGAGGTGGCGGATTTCATTCCTAAGAACAAGTTAATTTTTTTAGCATTTCATCCGCCAAACATGTTTGTACATTCCAGGTGACTCCTTTAGATGAGCCTTAGTGTCTTTCACACCCGTTTCCTGTGTCATCACGCAAGGCTAAACTCCCTTGCGTCACGACACAGGAAACGGAGACTAGTATATAGGTGTAATCATTGTTAAAAATGTTATTTTAAAAAATCTATAATGCAATGGATTCAGAAGAAAACAAGTTAAGACGAGCCGAAATTAATAAAAATGGGTTGAAAATTTTAATAGTGAATGATTGTATTTAAAGTAATTTATCTGGATTTTTATATACCTTTATTATGTTTTGGAACCCAACTTTCACCCCGGCCCTCTTCTTGGGAGTGATGGGATATGCACGCTTCTTATTTTCGCTTTGCTTGTTGTAAATACGTCCCCACTATACTATCTGAGAGCCTGGCACAGGCTAGAGTAGCTGGAACTTTACGAGCTAAAACGGAACGAAAAATTTGGATCACATATTCGGGTCTTCCCTCCCCGCCAAGGGACGTTACTGGTAAGAACATTTTGATTCATTTTGCTGAAAAGAATTATCAAATATCATTATATAAGGTTTTCTAATTCTTGCAACTGTAAACGGGTTAATAGCTGTATAAAATCAGGCTCTACAAGTGAGACACGTTCACACTAGACTAAAGGATTCTGCGGGACTACATACATGTGTGAAACTATTTCAGACATTTATACCCTGTTTTAGATGATTTTAGATTGTTTGCGAGTGGTTGTAGATGTTTTTGAGGTGGTTGTAGATGGTTGTAGGTGGTTGTTGAATTTTTTGAGGTGGTTGTAGGTGGTTTTAGGTGGTTGTAGATGGTTTTAGGTGGTTTTAGGTGGTTTTAGGTCGTTCCATGTTTAGTAACTACGCAGTAAAAACAGATGTCATGTTTAAGTAGCTAATGTCGGTCTGTAAACAAACACCTAGGAAGAATGTTCAGCTAGTTAATCGGCCTAGTGAAAACACAACCTCTGTTTTGTAAATTTTCTGTGAGGTTGAATTTGATTAATAATCTCAAGTCTTTACAAAACATAAGCAGTGAAAAGTATTTTCGTAGAAGGTGAATTGACAAATACGTGGTTAGCAACAAAAGCCTACCTCCTTAAACCCTCTCCCGCCTGTTGGCCATATTGGTTTAGGGCTCCTGCCATAGCTCTTTTTTGCACTCTAATTTGCTGGGGGGAATCTTCTTTGCTTCTGTGCGAACTGTGGAGGAGAGAGAGTCCCAACCTTGAAATCATCTGGCATCCTTATACTCGCAGGACACAAAATCGCTCTCTTTTATAGAGTCCAACGCACATTTGAGGACCCACGAAGATCTATGAAATCTAAGAATATGCTTTTGAAACATTTTTGAGAAATCTTTGAGACATTTGAAGTTGAATGAAAAGAGACTGAAAGAGATGATCACTGAATGAGGTGCCAGGTAATCGCATTCATCGGTAGAGTTTATCACATATTTCAAGGTTATTGAAACCAAAGCTTACCTTTTCACGTATGAACATTGTCCAAAACCATTTGGAATAAAGCACCGGCGAAAAAACGTTGATGTCTCTCCAAAATGAGTTTTGTGCGAAAATGGGTATCCAATTACTGGCAAGTCATTCATGCTTCTTGGTGGACTCCGCTCGAGTTATTCGAAAGCAATTTATTAGAAGGAGGTGGAAGTATTGGCGGCAGGATACGTTTTCTTCACATAACCTTCATCCATGCGCGTAGGTTTAGAGCAAAATTTAACCTGTAACATGTACTTTGCGGATTTGTCGTGCAATCTTTCTTCCCGGAAAAGTGCCAATGAAGATTCTCTTCACGCGATGCTAGTGTAGGCATGCGGCTCTTCTAGTG